GAAGCTGTTTATGTTGTGCTGTGTTTGTGCAGTTTAGTGGGTGTGTTGTCTGTCAGTGGAAGCCCGGCCCCAAGCCCAGCGCAGCGCAGCGCCCCAGCCCACACATGAATGAGCTCAGCTGAACGTTGGACCTGCTTTGCTTTATACAGCACACAACAAAGGCCTGGACTGCCATGAGTCATTTCTCAGTCCTACATCGAACCATAAATCCAAACGTCCAGCCCGTAGAGCTGCTCAGAGCTCGCTGCGGTGAGCGCGCGGGGGGGGGTTTAAGCTCTGCTCGGCTCGTGTGTGGATTCAGTTTTGTTGAAATGATCTTATTTGAACCAGATGTCAGAGAGAGAATTGAGCTGGGCCTAAATACATAGTTTTCTGTTTAGATCATCAATGAAGTGCTTTTGGGCTGCAGCGACAGGGGAAAGCCTGAAAATCCTCTTTGGGCTGAATCTGAGCCAAAACGTCTGCAGTGGAGCAGCACAGATGACCTGTAACACTGATATTGCAGCAGAATGGCACAGCGAGCTGACCCTTTCCTCAGAACATCACGCTGTGGGAAAGAGCACAGAAACTGTGTTTTTTATTACTTTTCTGGCAGAACGTTCAGATTTAGCTGGAAATGATGTTCACCAAACACGGAGTTGGGTAACTAGCAGAAAATAAGTGATTCAGTCCGGCACCCATTACGTCACATTAGCCCACTCATGTCCAAAAACTATATTGAGTATGAAGAGTGAAAACAACAGCTTGTTCTGAAGTTTTGAAATTTCATATACCTTAGATGAACATCTAGCTGCACTACTTTGAATCTTCTCATACTTTTATAAACAACAAAAACTGGATTTTTTAAAAACTTATGTTTATTGAAGTATTTATACATTCAAGTCAAATTACATCTGAACATCTCACCCCGTCCCCAACCTCACGCCATCCATAATATAAAACATCGGCTCAGAATGGCATTATTGCAAAATATACAATTGTCCCATAATTTACAGATGCAAAATCATGAAACATAGTCTGGTTCACGTTTAAATGAAAATGAATAAAAGAAAAAAATAAAATAGAATAATAATATCAAGAATAATGATGCTATTGATGATAATAGAACATATAAATAAATACATTTATGTATTGAACAGGTGGAATGCCCAGGTGCTGACTCAATATCTACTTCCCCAAAAAATTTCAGAAACAAATTCCATATGTTATACATTCCATATGTTTCGGTTTCATCGTATAAGTTATTCTTTCCAAAGACAGGAAGAGAACATTTCAGCCGTGTTTTCACCGAAGGTGCGCTTTTCCAGTGTGTGCTAATCAGGCGTTTCGCGTGTATTAGACAGAGATCTAGGGTCTCTGGCTACAGACCCAGAATACAATGTTTTGGACAGACGGTATTTCTTTGGAGAGAATCCTAGAAATAATTCCTATTACTCGCCTCTAAATGTCCTTTATCTCTACACTATCCCATTAATGATGAAACCCCTTTGTCCTGCACATTTTACACATGTATCTAGGATATCTGGGGTCATTTCTCTGGAGTAATATAAGTTCTCATTAACCAATTATGTTGAATCAATCTGAGACATGTGTTTATAGAGAGATGATGAGCATGCAGGCAACTCTAATTCCAGTCATCTTCACTAATATCACTTTGTAATTCATGGCTCAGAGCCAGTCTCCTAGGGTTTGATGTTTTGTTTTCTGAATCTTCTATTATGAAACATCAGTAATCACATATGGGGCTGAGAATCACTCCAAATTTTTCGATACCGATGCCAATACATAGACTGATTCCTGAACGACTTTTTTGTCCAATATCTTCTTAAAAGTGGGCGTGGCTTAAAACAGAAAGTAGGAAGTGCTTGTACTGGCGTAACAGATTGCTGAGTAATCAAGAAGTCCTGATGCTAAGGCTGTGTTCACATTACCAGGCTGAAGTGGCACAAACCTGATTTTTTGCCCTAATGTGACTCAGATCTGATGTTTTCTGAACGGTGTGGACACACAAATCTGATCTTTTCAGATCTTAGCTACGTTCACATTACAAGCCTCATTGTTCAAATACGATTTTTTGCTCAGATCTGATCTCTCTAACATGATGGTTCACACTCGTTTAGGTAAATGACTCAAATCTATCATTAATGTGAACAAACCAGTGTCCTGAGGTGATAATGAGACACATTTACAGCCAAGATGGTGAAATAAACATAAAGCGTTGTGGCTCCGAAGGTGGTTTGATTTTCGTTGAAAGGACAAAATGGCTCTTTTTAACATTTGGGTTGCGACCCCTGGCCTAGATTTTGGAAGAAGCATGTTTATGAGCTTGCAGATCTACTAAGACTGACTATGAATTGTTACAGTGGAGTTTTAATACCCAGCCTTAATCCCATGTGACCAAAAGACATAATAGAATGATAAATAAATAAAATTAACAATAAATTACATGATAAAAACTCACTTTTTTGCCAAATAGATTAATCGATTTGATTTTTTAATTTAAAATTTTCAAATTTTTTTAATTTTAAGATACAGACTACAGAATATTCCAGATAATAATGGATAAAGTCTGTCTGAATTCATCCTCAGAGACAGTTTTTTAATTTTATTTGACTATGGGTCCTCCTTCCCACACCATCCCTCAGCAGACTCTGTGTATGTATTTTTTAATGTTATTTTAGTAGATGAGTCACTCTGTCATTATTAAAGCGGAGTTGTAGCGACAGGGTTGGAGGAAAGTGAGAGTAGAACCTGTTCAGCCTGTTTGAGTTTCAGACGCCCGTATTAAGCCCTGAAACGCTGATCTCACTCACTGTTCCTCAGAGCTCGCTCACTTTCACACTGGTGTAAATTTAGCTCTGAGTGCAGTGAGCGCTCTAACAGAGCTGAGTGTGGACTGAGGGAGCTCTCTAAGCAGAGCTGCGCTGCAAAAAATGGGATCTTGTCAAGTCAAATTATCTTAAATATAGTCAACAAATCTAATATTTCTCCTGTTGAGATTGCTGTAAGCTTAATTTAAGATTATTTACTATACTTCTAGACATTTTTACTTGTTTTAAGTGATTTTATTAAGTAAAATCATCTCCCTATGTTGGCAGATTATAGTGCTTGTTGTAAGAAATGAGCTTGAAAATAGCAAAAATTATCTGCCAGTATAGTGAGATAATTTTGCTAAATAAAATGACTTAAAACAAGTGAAAAGTATCTAGAAATAAGATGGATAATCTTGTAATAAGTGCACAACCATCTTAAAATGGGAAATATTAGATATATCGACTAGATTTAAGATCATTTTCCTTGACAAGACACTATTTTTGGCAGTGTGTGAGTGTGATTGATGGGTGCAGGTGAATGTGAGCAGGTTTTTGCCCTGCAGGTAATGGCAGGTACAGCTGTGCTGGATTCTGATCAAGTTCAGTCATGCCGGCTGAGAGCAGCACCACAGTTAGGACCTTATTACAGCTCTGTACACTCCCCTACACTGTAACTGCACTCTAACTCGCCAAATCTACAACTCATTCACACTTTACTTTTAAGATCAGGCCTAAATTAAAGGTTTAGCTTGAGGGAAACCTTTAAATGGCACAGAACCTTCTTTTTATGTTTTATCCCAGGATAAAATATTAAAATTGTTCACTAAATACTCAAATCGAGCATCAAGTTAAACATCCAGCTAAATTTGAATGGGCAAAGCAAAACAGAAATGTTATAAACCACGGCTTAGAAAACACTGATCAGGTCTGTGTGGGCGTGGCCTGATATAGGACATACTTTGTACATGCATACCATGTAAGCATGATTGACAGCCCTCAGTTCAACACTCTCAGCCAGTTCAACCGTCCCAGGCTTATTACATACAGTGGTGCCTGAACATTTGTGAACCCTTTAGAATTTGTAATATTTCTGCATGAATTTGACCTAAAACTTCACACAAGTCTTAAAAGTAGATAAAGAGAACCAAATTAAACAAATGAGACCAAAATATTAGACTTGGTAATTTATTTATTGAGGAAAATGATTCAATATTTCATATCTATGAGTGAGTTTGTGAACCTTTGCTTTCAGTATCTGGTGTGACCCGCTTGTGCAGCAATAACTGCAACTAAATATTTCCGGTAGCTGTTGATTAGTCCTGAACATCGGCTTGGTGGAGTTTTAGCCCCTCTGTCCAAAACAGCTTCACCTCCTTTAGAATTTGCTGGTATAATTCAGAGTTTATTGTTCCATCAGTGATGGCAAACCGTTCTGGCCCAGATGCAGCAAAACAGGCCCAAACCTTGATACTACCACCACCATGTTTCAGAGATGGGATAATGTTTTTTATGCTGGAATGCAGTGTTTTCCTTTCTCCAAACAAAATGCTTCTCATTTAAACCAAAAATCAGTCCTTAAAAATCTCATCTGTCCACAAAATATTGTTCCAATAGCCTTCTGGCTTGTCCATGTGATCTTTAGCAGACTGGATTTTCTGTAATGCTGTACAATAAATCTGAATTGAAGTTGAATTGAACCATGTTTGTGCAAATTCCAGTGTATATTCCAATAAATTATTGGCTATTAGTTGCATTACTTTCACTGTAATTTACTGCACCATCATAACAGTAAATAACAGTAAAGTAACAGCTATACAGTGTGACTCCACAGTAACCTGCACCACCAGAACTGTTATGTAGCTGTTTTTCTGCTGTACACTTACAGAAATGAGCTGTAGTTAATCTCCTATATTATTGCATAGCAGCTGTAAAAATAACGCAACTCAATAAACAGAAATGTACCGTAAGTTCTTTTGCAGAAATAAACCATTTCAGAAGAGACAAGTGGAAACATCTGTCAGTGCTGCTTATTCAGTTACTCTGCGCTGGTTGTTGTTGTTTACAGGCTCTATAACCGTCATCTGTTTAGTCTTTTTTATCATTCATACAGTTGTTTTGTGTTGAAGTTGAAGATATTAAAGCAGCTAGTTAACAGATGCATATATGTCCTCTCCCTCTGTCCCGCAGACCCGCCACTGATCTGTCTGTTCTGATCGAGAAGCTGCAGAAAAATGCTGATAAAGTGGAAAAGCACATCACGGAAACGGAGCAGAACCTCAACAAGGCGTGTACTCGCATCACAACACTGTTCACTGCAAACTCAGCCTTTCTGTACACACATTCACAGCCTGTTTACAGTCGTAGCTTTACTATTAATAGCATTTATTAAATAATAAATATACCCCAAATACTAATGTTACACTACCTTTTCTCTTTCATTAGTTTTTTTATCTACTATAAATCATTCAATATCTACTATATTCAATATCTGCTATGAATTATTTGATGTCTACCATGAATTATTCAGTACCTACTATGAATTATTCAGTATCTACTATGAATTATTCAGCAACTACTATGAATTATTCAGTATCTACTATGAATTATTCAGCAACTACTATGAATTATTCAGTATCTACTGTGAATTATTCAGCAACTACTATGAATTATTCAGCAACTACTATGAATTATTCAGTACCTACTATGAATTATTCAATACCTACTATGAATTATTCAGTACCTACTATGAATTATTCAGCAACTAATATGAATTACTATCTACTATTAATAATTCAGTTTTGATGTCTATTGTTTTTGTGATTTTATGAAAAACAAAATATTCACATGGCAACTTCTATGCTCTGTGTTTTTATTATCAGGATGTCAGTAAGATCAATGAGGGGAAGCCTCCGCTGTATCAGGACGCCACCAACAAGTCCATCCTGAGCGCTCTGGAGCTGCTCACCAGCCTGGACGAGGACGCAGCCGATGCCAGACGCCTGCAGCACCCGCAGGCCGAGATGATCCAGCAGGAGTGAGTACAGACCCCCAACCGCGCGTGATTAAAGTCATACATCTAACTGTAAATATGATTTACAGTTCACCACAAACATGGTCGATCAGTCAAGACTTAAACCCCACCAATTAGCGTGGTGCTCACTGTGTGCCTAAATCATTACACATCTACCTCAAACTGCGTGGAGGTGTTCAGTGTCTCTAACAGACTTGGTTATGTGGGTTCTGACTCACTGTTATCTATAAACACAGTAGCAGCCTGAAGTGTGTCCGTGTCATTATTTAGGCATGCGGTTAGCGCCATGCTAATCAATTTACATACGTTTGCATTAATTGTTAGCAGCTCCAGGGCTAAAACTCAATAACTTCTGACAGCAAACGTGTCCACTGATAGCAAGAGGACAGCAGACCACTGTTGGTCCACTGTTGGCAAAGCTGGCAGCCCACTGGCTTTGCACTCAGCGTTTTCCAGGCGGCCCATTGGTGGTTAAGCAGAGTGTTGGACAAAATGCCACTTTTCATCATTCCATTTCCACTCACAGTCCAATTTACCTCTTTTTGCTTTCATTTCTTTCTTTTGCTATTCTTTGTAAAATATTTTAGTAAATAATTTATTTAATATCATCAATAAAGCTGGTTATTCAGCTGTAACCAACCTGGCACAGTGTCAGCAACATTTACAACTAAATAATTTTACATTAGACCTAGCCGTTCATTGTTTGTAATTATTGTCTTAGCATATTTTCCAAAATAAAAGTCTGTGTGCATTTAAAATCTGTTTGTGGACATTTAAATATAGTTAAACCTTGTATGAAGGACAGTAATCTGGGTGGGCCGAGGGTGGACCAGCAGTGTGGGGTGCTGACCTTATCAAGCCAGCGGACCGATATATGCGGACCAATGATTGACTATTTAGTGCAGACCTGATTTTCGCTGAACTACAGCTTTAACCTTATGTTGCACTACTGTGGACTGAAAGGTGATTAACCCATATTTACTTTAACACGTTGTTGTCGTTTTTATTTCTCAGTATGAAGCAGCTGCGCGAGCGTGTGATGAAGCTGAGGGACGAACACAACCACATTTACCACCTGACCCGCTCTGAGGGGCTGCCCAGCGTCAACTGGGGCAAAATCATCGACGAGAAGCTGGTGAGTAACCATGTGTCACACCCTCCCTCACGTTCTCTCACTCCCCCCCTGATTCTGTGGAAATTAAAGGAAAATGGCAGCAGATTCCCAACTAATATCTACAAGTGAAAACCTGTAAATCTTTACATGCTTGTAATAGGAGCCAATGGGCAGCTGCTGAATTCAATGTATGAACTACAGTCTTAAAGAAGGTGGTTCTTCAAGGGTTCTTTAGTAAAGACAGTGGTTCTGTCTACAAATCTATCTATCTATCTATCTATCTATCTATCTGACTGTATCTATCTATCTATCTATCTATCTATCTGTCTATCTATATCTATCTGTCTGTCTGTCTGTCTATCTATCTATCTATCTATCTATCTGTCTGTCTGTCTGTCTGTCTATCTATCTATCTATCTATCTATCTATCTATCTAAGCATGCAAATGGTTCTTTGGGTGTTCATGTTTGTATGTAGAACCGTGTTCTTCACTAAAGAACCCCTGAAGAACCATCTTTTTAAAAGTGTATATGACTGCATATAGGAAGTTGGTCTTCTGAGAAAACAAAGTACTGACATGCAAACATGGTGTGTGTGTGTGTGTGTGTGTGTGTGTGTGTGTGTGTGTGTGTGTGTTTAAACAGGCAAATCTCAACAACAAAGGGTTTGGTCAGGACCTGCCCACCATCGAGAATGAAGTTGAGGAGCACAATATCTTTCACAGTGAAGTGGAGGCTTTAGCTCCTTACATCACCGCTGGAGACGACAGGGTGAATTAATATGTTATAATAATAAACACTGTAATATGTGAACTAACAGATCATTCTCACACTCTGCTGGTCAAAAGTCTGGAACCATTGGGCCTCATTCTCCAGTATCTTCCTAAGTTTGTTCTTAAATGTGTTCCTGATAATGGTCCTAAGAAAAAGTCCACGTCAGATTCATGGCGTGTTCTTAAAGCGCAGAACGGTTCTCACCTTTGTGCTCTTGAACTAATCCCAAATAAGAGAACATCAGTGAATGACCGAGTCTTCGCCAAAACTGCGTGAGTGGGTTTACGAAGAAATTTCTTCTTTAGAACAGCTGGTGAATGAGGCCAAATGCTTTCAATAAAATGAAACCAAATGTGTTGCAGATAACTCTGAGTAATACTTAATAATTAGTGGGAAGCTGGAAAAAATGAGAAAAATTCAGAATTTTCTAAAATTATAAATACTGAGAAAGCTGTACAATATCGAAAAATAATACCCAGAATGAAGTTCTAATAAAATTAATATCCAGAATGAAGTTCTAATAAAATTAATATCCAGAATGAAGTTCTAATAATATTGACATCCAGAATGAAGTTCTAATAATATTAATATCCAGAATGAAGTTCTAATAAAATTAATATCCAGAATGAAGTTCTAATAAAATTAATATCCAGAATGAAGTTCTAATAATATTGACATCCAGAATGAAGTTCTAATAATATTAATATCCAGAATTAAGTTCTAATAATATTGACATCCAGAATGAAGTTCTAATAAAATGAATATCCAGAATGAAGTTCTAATAAAATGAATATCCAGAATGAAGTTCTAATAATATTGACATCCAGAATGAAGTTCTAATAATATTAATATCCAGAATGAAGTTCTAATAATATTGACATCCAGAATGAAGTTCTAATAACATTAATATCCAGAATGAAGTTCTAATAAAATGAATATCCAGAATGAAGTTCTAATAATATTGACATCCAGAATGAAGTTCTAATAATATTAATATCCAGAATGAAGTTCTAATAATATTAATATCCAGAATGAAGTTCTAATAAAATTAACATCCAGAATGAAGTTCTAATAATATTGACATCCAGAATGAAGTTCTAATAAAATGAATATCCAGAATGAAGTTCTAATAATATTGACATCCAGAATGAAGTTCTAATAACATTAATATCCAGAATGAAGTTCTAATAATATTAATATCCAGAATGAAGTTCTAATAAAATTAACATCCAGAATGAAGTTCTAATAATATTGACATACAGAATGAAGTTCTAATAAAATTAACATCCAGAATGAGGTTCTAATAAAATTAATATCCAGAATGAAGTTCTAATAAAATTAATATCCAGAATGAGGTTCTAATAAAATTAATATCCAGAATGAAGTTCTAATAAATATTAACACCCAGAATGAAGTTCTAATAATATTAATATCCAGAATGAAGTTCTAATAAATATTAACATCCAGAATAAAGTTCTAATAAAATTAATATCCACAATAAACATCTTATAAAATTAACATCTGTAATGAGGCTCTAATAAAATAAATATCACGATTATCTCATATTTCATAGGTGGTGACAAAATCTGGAGTCATAAATTATTTTTTTTTAAATTACAACGAATATAAAATTAGTGTCTTATATATTGTTTGATAACTTCCTGTTGTTCCTAGAAGGCATCTAATATGGAATAAAGATCTGAAAATATCTTTTTGGTGTATATTTTCTATTTAAATCTGTGTTTTATAAGTTATTATTGTGTATAAAGTAAGAGAAATAAATACTGCAGGTGCTTCCAAACTTTTGAACAGTAGTGTCTGTTTAAGTTGAACTGAAAGTGTCTGAAATGAGTCAGATCAGTGTGTTTGACTCTGACTGTGCTGTTTGTGTTTCAGGACTATCAGCAGCAGAAATACAACAAACTCATGGTAAAGCTCGACTCTTCTGCTTCACTGTTTTTCTAGCAGTGGGTTTAATCAGAGTTTAGAGACGTTTCCTCTCTCGCCGCTAACCCGCCCAGCCAGCTGCTCTGAGATAAGAAAGCCTGATGAATTTGAATGAGAACTTAATCTGTGTTACAGGATCTGTTCCACTTGTAAACATTTACCTTTCATATTTGCCCATTCAAAACACCATTGACAGCGCTGGCTCTGACACTGGAGAGTACTGTGTGATTCAGCTGACTCCTATTTGCTCCAATAACTTCTCTTTAACCCTTAGAAGTCTGGAGTTATCGCTGTTTGATTTACTTTGCATAATTATTTACATGCATTTACATAATTACACATATTAATTCTATATTTACATTTGATTTCTGACTTTTTTCTGCTTGTTTTGATGTCAGAAAATGAGAAAATGCGCAGAATGGATGACAATAACTTGTCATTAAATTCAAATAATATTAAAATATCTTCTCTTTTTCTTACAAACACAAATATGTATGGATTTACAGTTTAAAAAAATTGCACTTTCACACCAACTATCAGAAATAATTCATATAAAACTACAACACCAACAATAACTGGGACTTTTAAGTGGTTAAATGGTGTTGGTTTGTATCTGAGGGTATAAATATGTTGGTATTGTGTATTATTTTAAGCAATGTTGGTGAAGAGGTCACCATTTTTGTGTTTTTCTCCATGAAGGCCAGCTCCACTGCCCGGCAGAAGAACCTCCTCAGTCTGAAGGACTACATGCAGCGCTGCACTAATGAGCTGTATTGGCTGGACCAGCAGGCTGATGAGCGCATCGGTTACGACTGGAGCGACGCTAACCTGGACTACCCCGCCCGCAAGAGACAGTACGAGGTACGGCAGGGGTCTTTATGACCACCGGTAGGCAGATGTGTCTGTGTAGTGCTTGAATTATAATCAACACATGTTAAAAATGTAGAATAAGATAAGATGATTATTAGTCATGTGAATAAATATCATTAATACTTTATTGTAACAAATTGCAAACGAGACTGAAATGAGTCCAAACCTTCAATGAACTTTTAAAGAAGGGGGCCACTAGCCACGTGGTCTGCTGAAAAGATGCGGCGAAAAAAGTGTCCCGTATGTTTTTGCAAGTATGGATTTTTTGTCATCATAAACCACTACTATTACAACAAATAATAATTATTTATAATTAAAACAGTAGTAGTAGTGTAGTAGTAATACAATTAACATTTTAGGGACTTTTATTGTGATAGCATTAGCTTTCTTGCTGAACAAGAGTGAGGTCGGGGAACTTGTAAAGAGAAGAATTACACTCTGTAATGTCATCTGGGTTTCTCAAACACTAGAGGGCGCTCCAGAGCAGGTCCAAAATGAATGGGTTAAAATGGAGCTTTTGACCAAAATCATAGTTTGTAAATGCTGAAACATTTTTAATGTAAAATAATACGATAATTTCCTGAACACAGAGCAGCATAAAACATTTTAACACTGCTGTTATATTTTTAAGAGCTTTTAAACTCGAGTTATAGGAGTTTAAAACAGAGCCTCATGTACGTTCATGACGTCAGTGAGCGCGAACAGCCAATGAGCTGCTCCGCTCGCCAACCAATCAGCACTCAGCAGCAGTAATGTTAGTGTCCTGCTGCCCAAAACCCATTTGCTGTAGAAAAAAGGTTACAAACAGGTGAGATTTCTTTGTTTTTTTAGTGAAATACAAACTTCTACTTTCTAAAATTGAAGGAAAGTTCTGGTTTCAGTGACTAGAGACAATTTTATCTTTTCATTTTTAGCCGTTTAGCTCAGTTTACTCCCATTCATTGAGGACTCGCTCGAGGGCGCCCTCTGCTGTTTAGCAGTCCCTTTTTTCATATTACTGGGGGGTCTCTGGTGAGGTTATTGTGGGCTGGTAGAGCATGTAAATCTGTTTTCTCAGATGAAAAATGTGAAAAATGTGCATGTATTATTATATATTATACGTATATAAACTTTTAGTGTTTGCTTTTAACATCGTAATTAACAGTTAACATCGTAATTAACAGCTGATTTTATAGAGGGGTATGTTGGGTAACCAGCCACAGTGGCTTTGGGTGAAGCTATTCTACTCGTCAGGTGAAAACGTGAAGCCTCAGAAAAGCTAAAAAAAACAGATTTGGAGGTTGGATTTAGGGATAAATTGTAAATATATGACTGGCTGTGATGCTTGTGATGTTTGAAACCCCTGACTTAAAGAAATTCTTCCACAAAAGAATCTGTCTTATGTTTATTTCTTTGGTTTGCGCGTCTAAAAGACTAATGTGGCTAATGTGGCTAACAACCACATTGCATTGGGTGAACTACATGCTTCATCACACTTTAGATGCAAAGTAATCTCAAACTGTATCACAGACAAAATTCAGGCCTCCAAATGGCCACTGCTAGTGTTTTAGCTATGCTAACGTACTTTAGCCCACTGTTTCTCAGCCCTGGTCCTGGAGGCCCACTGTCCTGCACTTTTAGTGTTTTCCCTGCTCCCAACACACCTAACCAACTAATCAGCTCATTACCAGCCCCTGACTGAGTTACTGTGGGTGCTAAAGCAGAAGAAGCTCTAAAACGTGTAAGGAACTGAGAAACACTGCTTTAGTCCATGTTTATAGATCACAGTGAGTCATACAGTGTCAGAAACCACATCATCAAGTCTTTTAGAGATACTGAACAGCTCCACAAGGTTTAGGCATGCAGTTAGCACCACGCTAACCTGGTGGCTGAAAGCTTCCATTAATTGTCTGCTACATTAGCATTGTAGCTTCAGCACAGAAAGAAGCAGGAAAAGGAGGGAAATGACAGCGCTAACAGTCACATGTGTCGCATTTCTCTAACAGAATTTCATCACTAAGTGCCTGGAGTCCAAGGAGACGACCGTCACGAAGCTGAATGATGATGGAGAGAAGCTCATCGCACAGGACCACCCAGGGAAGAACGTCATCGAGGTACCACCAAGAAAATATCATTTGTAAACAGTCATTAGATTAGATTAGATTAGATTAGATTAGATTCAACTCTATTGTCATTGTGCAGAGTTCAGGTCCAGAGCCAATGAAGCGCAGTTAGCATCTAACCAGAAGTGCAAAATACAGTATTATTTACATATAAAGTGCAGAAGGACGGTAAATATAGATAAGCAAGTATAAACACAATATATACATATACTGAGTGAGTGGAGAGCGTACAAATGTAGGTAGTGGTGGGCAATATGTTCAGAATTACATCACAATACTCTCTTTTTAATGAAACATCCGGATGGTCCAATACATCCACAGTATGTTCAGAAAAGTGTGTAGTAATGTAATTTGTCATGATAATGATGCATGGTGTCATACTGCCCACCTCTAATTGCAGGTACTGAATAATCATGTGATTCCCGAGTCTAAACATGGCTGCTTACAGAAAAGTCACATATATTTCACATGTTAAGTGTTCAAAAACCATTTTTTTTTTCATGTTTTATATATATATATATATATATATATATATTTTATATATATATATATATATATATATATATATATATATATATATATATATATATATATAGTGGAGTGAAATTACGTTTCTCCTCCAGGATCAAGGTGCAATATCCTTATTCTCCTGTGTAATTAATGTGACTCTTTTCTGTAAGGGAACGACTATCTTTATATCTTTGACTGTGATGTAGTGATAAATTACACTATCATCAAGAAATCTGTCTTCTAGTTCAGCAAAAAGTCAAAATTTTCACAGTTTCAGACACAAATGTAGTCAATCAGCCAAGATAGGTTTGGTGTCCGAAGTTCGCTTCTTCAGTTGTACACTTTAGCTACGAGGCTAACATGCTAGGTAATGGCAGTTTTTATGCCCAAATCATTTAACATTTACGTTTATGGCATTTGGCAGATGCTCTTATCCAGAGCGACTTACAATTTGATCTTTTACACAGATAGGCCAAGGTAGTGTTAGGAGTTTTGCCCAAGGACTCTTATTGGTATAGTATAGGGTGCTTACCCAGGCGGGGATTGAACCCCAGTCTACAGTGTAGAAGGCAGAGGTGTTACCCACTACACTATAAATCATGGTTTAAGGCTGGTTTCTGTGGATTTAAGCGTGCAGTTAGCACCATGCTAATTGGTGTGGTTCCATTAGTTGCTAGCTACATTAGCCTCGTAGCTCCTAGTGACAATAAACATGTCTTGGCTAACTGGCTGCACTTGCTGTAAGGAGAAAATTGGGTAAAATTGTACTATTTTTACAAAGCTGTCACTTTATTAGGCTGCAAATGAAACATATATTAAGACAAGATAAGTGAAGCCTGTGTTTGTTGCGGGGCTGATTCTTCTGTAATTCTGTAGTGTCCATAGACTGTGCGTATCTGAAACGTGTGTTGTGTTCAGGCCCATATGGAGGCTGTCCATGCAGACTGGAAGGAGTATCTGAACCTGCTGATCTGTGAGGAGAATCACCTCAAGCACATGGATGAGTACCACAAGGTGAGGAGGACACAGAGAAAGGGCTGATTTTGATGCATCAAACCATCCGATCAATGAATTTCAAAATTCATACATGAAAATTGTAGGATAAGTGCTCTTTAAAGGAAATCTAACAATGGCAAAAAGTCTGGTAGCCGTTTTCTTTCAACTTTATAGACTTAGGCCCAATCCCATTACACCCCTCGCCCCTACCACTTACTCCCACCCCTCTGTTCTGCGTGTTCATGTCTAGGGGTAGGGTGTCCCGATTCTTGTTGAGATAGAGGGGTAGGGCGAAGTGTTGGGGCTACATGACCCTCCAAACAGAGGTTTTTCAGAGACTCCAAACAGAGAGATATGAGAATAAAAGAAAAACCAGCAAGATGGAGAACAAGAGACCAAAGAAACCCACAAACGTGAGAATTTTCTCTGTTAAAAAATGACAATAACCATCATATTATCTTAGTTTAATGTCGTTTCAGTGTATTATGGTCGTTTTCTTTATAACAAGCAAAGCAAAATTGCTAATATTATGCTGATATCTTGGTAGCTAGCTAAATTTCCCATTCCACCTTAAATGGTGCTGCAGTTACATTCTGGCGCCTCAAGCATCAGAACCACCATTTAAGGTGGAACAGGGAAAATTCGAACGAGAAGCTGGTGAATATCTGACTTCAGCTTCATATCACTGAAGAATTAGTGGTGGGTGATAATAAATAATTGCCCCCCTCTTTGAAGGCATATGATGCCCTAAATGTAACTAAAGCCCAGCAGTGAGGAGCTGAACTTTACCCTCCTCTGCTGTCACTGCAGACTGGCAGGGTCGCCTACAGAGCAGCGCTGGTAGCTGTTAATGAAGTGATGCTCTTTTTATTTGAGGGTCCCATTTCAGAGGGAAGATTTCTACCACTACTCTGTAACTCAGTTCCAAGGGGCAAAGAGACACTCGGAAAACAAGGGATAGGGGTAAAAATAAGTAATGAGACTGGACCTAAGATGTTTTAAAGAATATAATCCAATAAAATATTTGTTTCCCTGTAACTCTGTTGTCAGATGAACTAGGTCTCTCTCTGTGTAAAATGTTCTTGAGCTGCTAGCGAGCAATAGGGTGAAATGGTGAGGGGTGAGAACCCCCTGCTGTGAAAAACAGTTCACACCTCTCCACAAAGACGGCTGTGCTGAGATAAAACGGACAACGGTGGCTTTCTTCATATCAGACACTGTACAGCTGACACAATAAACACACAGCATTCAAACACAATAAACACAATGTTGTTTTGCTTGCTCCCCCTACAAAAGATGGAAATCCAGTCCGCCCCTGGTTGTGTAAACCTAACACATTTCTATAGAAGAAAAAATGTATAGTTCACTTCAGGGACCTCAAAAAGCAGAAAATGTGTGTTGTGTCTGCTGTGAAGAGGAGTTAAAGGTCACAGTTTAACTGGTTGATTTTATACTGTGCAGTTTAACAAAGAGGCCAGAGACACTCAGGACCTGCTGAAGCGACTGGAAACTGAAATCCACCAGAAGTACAATCCAGAGTTTAAAGACATGTACCAACTGGAAGGACTTCTCACTGACCTGGGGGTAAATACAGTTTACAGTCATTCAGTTTCACTAAGATTATCTGTATGATCTTTGTTTTGGGTTTGCGATGAATGAAGTGTGTGAGCTGAGTCATTATCTACTATGAATAATTGAGTAACTACTATGAATTACTCACTTTTTACTATGAATTATTCAGTATCCACTATTATTTAGTATCTACTATGAAATATCAAGTGTCTACTATGAATTATTCAGTAACTACTATGAATAATTCAGTAACTAGAATGAATTCAGTATCTACAATTAACTTTTTAAGTATGTACTGTAAATTATTCAGTATCTACTATGGGTTACTCAGGATGAACTATGAATTATTTAGTAACTACTATGAATTGTTCAGTATCTACTGCGAATTATTCAGTATCTACTATCTAATATTAATTATTTAGTATTTATTATGACTTATTCAGTATCTAATATGAATTATCCAGTATCTTCTTTGAAGTTTTCAGAATCTACTGTAAATTATTCAGTGCCTACTATGAATTATTCAGTATTTACTGTAAAACTAGTTTAAACTAGTAGTAGTAGTAGCGTTGAGGGGAGTAAGTCTATGGAACGTCTTCAGAACCTGAACATGCTCTCTGCTCTGTGTGTGTTTATTAGGACCAGGCGAAGGCCATGGATCACTTTGATGAGCGAGTGAAGGCTCTGCAGAACCGCAGCCTGCAGGTTCTCCCACTCAAGTACCGCAGAAACCCTCCTCAGAAGCTCCTGCCCGTGGAGGCGCTGTGTGAATTTGACGCAGAAGAGGTACTGTGTGTTTTAACCACTTAAAGTTCCAGGCTTATTACGTACTAAGACCTATTGTTCAGTAACTACAGGGACTTCAGCGCAAACTGGCTGAGCTGTTCGTAGATCATAGAAGTGTGTAAAACAAATTGAGCCCGCTGGTGAGTGCTGGGCATTAAATGTGCTGTTTTGTATGTACATGTAAAGATGAACAATATAGTGCAAACAGTACAAATTAAAGTGTTACCTAGACTTGCTTGTGTGTTTCCTGACACTATGTGACACACTAGCATCCATAAACATGGATGAAAATATATTAGCATAGCTACAAAACACACAAGCAGGTCGAGTAGAACAAGCAGTCCTAAAACTAAAGAAGTAAACTTCAGACACCAAACATGTCTTGGCTGGTCGACTGTTGGCAAAGCGAGGAAAAACTAATTTCATTTTTGGATGAAGTTTCACTTTCATCTCATCTATTTTGCTTAAAGGCTAATCACTCTCCATATTCCACTTGGAGGAATTTGAAATATTCAGCACCAAAGCCGAGTTCACTTTCTTCTCTGCTTGTGTTTGCATGTCTTTATTCTAATGTATTTAAATCCTTAAGAAGGCCGCTGCTCGTTTAAACCTGCCGCGGTGTTCAGGCTGGATTTTGGTGGGATTTTGGATTCGCAGGACAGGAACTGAGCAGCAGTTTTAGAGGAGGTATCAGAGCTCCGAATAAGAGTCTCCGGCTTGTTTTTTTCTGCAGGGTCAGATTCTGAGAGGCGAGCGCTACACCCTGCTGAGGATCAACGGCAACAAGTGGGATGTTAAAGACCCGGCCGGCCGCACACTGAGCGCTCCTGGTGTTTGTTTCATGATCCCACCCACCGACCCAGAATCAATCGCCATTTCTGAGAAGTATGTGCAAATAAAATGAGTAAAACTTGCAATAAAATAAGTAAATGATTTAAAATGATTCATTATTACTGCATAGGCTTTCTTTACTCTGCATGTTGAAAGTTGGGGACATCCAACTTGTTTATCTTTTTTGTAGGTTTGTGTACCAAAAACAATCATAAACCGTTCATAATTCAACTTCTCTTTATCCCTTAGAATTAAACTGGCTTTTTTGTTACCATGCCCTGATACTGATACATGTAAATTAGCTCTGTTCTGATTGGCTGCCTCATATTATGCCTCATTCAAAAGCTGTCCAGAGCTGAAACACTCCTTATAACATCAGTGTGAGTGGGCAGGGCTAAGCTGCTGTAGGCAAATTGCTAGCTTAGCCCAGCTTATGCTGCCTAAAACGAATTGGTTTAATACACTTGCTGTGCACTTGAAGGGGAATTCCATCATTTAAAAAAAAATTCTGCATAATTAACTGGTTAAGATGTAAACAGAGCGGTTCAGAGTGGTTTGGTGTGAAACGCTCTGTTCTAGAGAAACTTACCGAGTCAGAACTGTTCACAGTGGTGGTGATAGGAACCAGACGTCCACCTCTAAAAGCTCCCTCACAGAAAGTTACTACATGAAATGGTTATGAATTCACTGCCTGATGACTGAGACTCTGTTTTATGATAGTTCTGAGAAGATTTTGGCCTTAAACTCCATTCATGGTGGAGGGATACATAATATGTAGGGTGCTGCGAGGCAAAATAGTCCCCAAAGAAAACTTATTATTTCAGATTTTCCACTATTTTTCCATCATCAACATTCCATATAAACTCAGAAGACTCGTGTAGGTTCACTGGTGGTTCTGGATAATAAATAAAATGTCTATATCTGTGTTGTAGTCATGGCGACCCCTGGTTCCCATCACCACCACTGTAAAGACATCTGAACCATTCCACACCAAACCACTCTGAATCTCTATGTTTATGTCTCACTCACTGAATAATGCAGAAATTCAGTGAAATGTCATTTTAAAGGTCTTGGGTCAGGATACGGCCAAAAGACCAGATCTTTAGCCAGCTGTCAGTACACAGTAAGTGTCCAGTTGTTACATATTGAACCTCTGTGTTGTCCTGCAGTCTGGTCAACCAGCAGAAGAGCATCAAGAAGAAGGTGGCCAGCAGCAAAACAGCGCTGCAGACTCGGCTTGCTGACCTGAGGAAGGACAGCACGAGTGGACAAGGTACGTGCGTGTGATCAGCTCAGTAAAAAAATTAAAACAATAATAACAACAGTCATAATAATAAGTTTAATAATTCAAAATATCATTGTTGCTGCATAGGCTTTCTTTACTCTGACCAATAAATAAATATATCAATCTTTTTTTTTAAAATAAATTTTTGGCATAATATTTTACTTGGCATAACCATATGTTTAATTTACATATCATCTTTAACAAGTTAAAATGAAGATTTTAAATGAAAAAAATAATAATTTGAAATAACTTAAATAAACTGCCCAATAAAAGTTCTTTTTAGATATTAATTATTTATTTTTATTTATTATTATTTATTTTATTTATATTTATTATTTAAGAAATGAGCTTGTTCTCTTTAGCAGTTTGCAAAAACTAATGAAAATGCAATAATTCATTATTATTTTTTATTTTGACAGAAATAAATCACATATTTGACTAACTAAACATGTAAAAACAAAAAGCATGCTAATTTATTAAATGCATTTACATACATTTTGAACAAACTGGCAGTCAGAGATTTTTCCCTCACACTCTCAGTGAATCATTAAAGCCAAATGAACCCTAATTAGCTATTTTAATTGATTGATATCTGTTTTTTTTAATTGCACTCAAGCACATTTCATTACTTCATTTATTTTATTTAATTTTACATTGATGTCTTGTTTAAATTAAGTTTCTATTTTAATTACACTGCAGCTACACTTAAGCCCTGTTCTTTATGCTATTTTTTAAATTTGTTTTCATTTTTATGCACTTAATAATATCATTAGTATGGAGCGTGTTTGAGTGGCGTTGGCTCGTCCGTGACTCATTCTCTGTCCGTCGAAACCACAGATAAGCAGGAGCTGCAGTGCCGCCAGCTGATGGCTGGACTGGATAAAGTGGTGAATGACCTGGATAAACAGGAGAAGGCCATTTACTCTCAAGTGCGCCCCCCTCTGGAGCAGACCCGTCCTCTTCAGGACACCAGTGACAGGCTGCAGCACATGAAGGTACAGACTCACACATTTAGAGACTCTGAAAGCTGCACATTTAATCCAAACCGCTCTTTAAAGCGATAGATCCACAGTTAAAGTGATAGTTAAAGCATAGTAACACAATCCCCACCTGTCCAAATGTAATTGATCATTACCAGATTAGTGTCTGATGTTTGCTCGTTTGCTAGTATGTGGCTAATGTAGCTAACGAATAATGAGAACTACTGCCCCCCCAATTAGCGTCATGCTGACTGCATACCAAGATGCCTCAAGTTGGAGGTGTTCAGTGTCTCTAATAGACTTGATTATGTGGTTTCTGTCACTGTATGACTCACTGTTATCTATAAACATGGACTAAAATATGGACAAAATTCAGGCTTGAAAACAGTTTTTAGCTTATTTTAAGGTGCGCAAAAGTTTAGGCACCCCCGGTCAGATTCCACGTTTTTAGTTTTTATAAAATAAGTCACACAACCTCTACAGTCAACACACTTCTGCACATTTTAATGCACAATTACTGTTTATCTACTGAGTTACTGACACATTAGAGGAAGAAAATGAAAATAAAATGGGGCCTGTGCAAAAGTTGTGGCACCCGGGGGTGTTCAAACTAGGGACGGCCGATATGGCAAAGTTTTATATCACTATACTCACGAGACATTTTTACGATACACGATATGCATCACGATATTTAGTTTTTCTGAGATTTAATAAGTCGGAACAGACAAAACAGAACCTGCTGTGCCACATTTATATGATTGTTATTCAGTTTTTACACACTGCACTGCACTAAATCCAACTAAACAGAACTAATTATGCTCACTCTAATGAAGAGTGGAGTTGGTCAGTGATCTTTAAGTACTGACGACATCCACGATAAGCTCAGAAAAGAATATTTATATAATTTATCATGATAACGATGCAATATTGTTACCCCTACATCCTTAAAAAAGATGCTTCTTCGAGGGTTCTTTAGTAAAGACAGTGGTTCCTTATAGAGCCTACATTTTCATGCTTAAATGGTTCTTTGCATGGTGAAATGGTTCTTCAGGTTGATGAAGAATGTACTGTGTGTGGTTCTATATGGAACCTTTTTGAAAGGGGTTCTATGTAGCACCAAAAACGTTCTTCTGTTGTTACAACACTCTTAAAAAGATCTACTTTAAGGGTTCTTTAGTAAAGGAAATGATTCTATACAGAACCATGAACACTCAATAAACCCTTTGCATGATTATAGGGTCCTTTGCTTCATTTAAAGGTTCTTCACATTGATGGAGAATGTGCTGTAGATGGTTCAGTATAGCACCAAAAAGGGTTCTGCTAATGTTATGACGTCAAGCTTGAACCAATAGAAGGACCTTTTTTGGTCCTTTCTTTTAAACAGGTTTTATAAAGTACCATCTTCAGCACATCCATCCATCTGAAGAACCCTTTCACCATGCAAAGAACCCTTTAATCATGCAAAGGGTACTTTGAGTGTTCATGGTTCTATATAGAACCATTTTCTTTACTAAAGAGCCCTTGATGAACCATCTTTTTTAAGTGTGAAGCTTGACATTGTAACAATAGCAGAACCCTTTTTGGTGCTATATAGAACTATACACAGCACATTCTCCATCAGTCTGAAGAACCATTTTACCATGCAGAGAACCATTTCAGCATGCAAATGGTTTGAGTGTTCATAGTTGTATATAGGACCATTGTCTTTACTAAAGAACCCTTAAAGAACCATATTTTTGAGTGTAATTTCTTTTTATTTCTATGCTTATAAAAATCACTAAAGAGGGAAACTTTAGGGATTATGTTGTCTGTAAGCCTGACACCTCGCCGTCTGAGTGAAGATGCCTTATTTAACGAGCTAATCTCACCGTTTGTTTGCAGGAAATCGCCTCTGCTGTCCGCAGGATAGAACCAGAGAAGACCTCCAAAGTTCAGGAGGCTGAAGTTTTCCTGAAGTCCAGCCCAAAATGTGCCAGCGTCCCACAGCTCTACTCCAAGGTGGCTGAGACGAACAACAAATACAACAAAGTGGACCAGCTGCTGAAGTGCGCAGACGACAAGTACGTACCGCCCTGCTGTGCTCACATCTGAGGAACGCTGGGTTTTCAGTCCAGGGCCAAAACTATAACCGATTAGCCTGTTAGCTATTATGTGTTTAATTCACTGATATAACTATTCTGCTTTCTTCGGCATCTGTCAGAATGACTGTGTGGATCATATTAACATTATAGAGCTCTTTTTACATGAAACAGTAGAAGCCATATCGCCCCCTACACTTCCTGTAGTGTATTACAGTCTGTCAGAGTGACTGTGTGGATCATATGAACATTATAGAGCTCTTTTTACATGAAACAGTAGAAGCCATATCGCCCCCTACACTTCCTGTAGTGTATTACGGTCTGTCAGAATGACTGTGTGGATCATATGAACATTATAAATTAAAAAATGAGTTGACAATTTATCAACTTTGCCTTGACAAGAATACATACTATGATTTTTTAATTTGTTTTCACAGACTTCAGAACACCAACCGCCTGGAGAACTCCATCCAGAATGCCAAAAACGTGCTGTCCACCTATGAGAACAGACTGGCCAGAGAAGAGGTGGCTCCATCTGACCTCAGCTCTCTGGAGAAGACTCAGCGTGAGCTGTCTGTAAGCTGCACTTCTGCTGTTTATCTTTTTTGTAGTCACATAATGTTATAATGAGATAATAAACAAACAAACAAACAAACAACAAAACAATGACAATAATAATAATAATAATGGATTATTGTCATTATAATTAATATTTACAACAACAGTAATAATAATAATAATAATAATAATAATTTTAGGTAGCAATTATAGCAATTTACAAAGTGCTATACAGAAAAAATAAAACAGATAATCTTTCTTTTGTCGGCTAAGTCTATTTTACCCCCAAAACAAAGACCAATAGCAATGTTCCTGACCCTTATGTCCTACTGGACAGGCTTGGATTTTGACTTATTGTCTGAGAAATATTTAAAGATGTTCTGATCCAATATGAAAAATCAGTATCAGAACCAATTCAAAGTATATTTTATTGGACCATTTTCTGCTATATTAAGTTATTATTAATTCAATTATTATAATTATCATTATACTTAAAAGGGTTCTGATATTGTTACAAGGTCAAGCTTGTAAAAATAGAAGAATAATTTTTGGTACCATATAGAAACATTTTCAAAAAAGGTTCTATATAAAATCACCTGCAACACAATCTCCATCAATCTGAAGAACCATCTCTCCATACAAAGAACCGTTTAAGCGTACAAATGGTCTGAGTATGCATGGTTCTATAAAGAGCCATTGTCTTTTTCTAAAGGACCCCTGAATAAGCATCTTTTTAGAGTGCAGCCGTAACAATATTTCATCATTATTGTGGTTATGAAATTATGTCACAGTATACAAAGAATCCTTTAATCATGCAAAGGCTTCTTTGAGTGTCCATGGCTCTATATAGAACCATTTTTACTAAAGAACCCTTGAAGAACCACAAGAGTGTAGAGGAGAGGCATTTGCATGCAGTGCCCTGAAATTAGAGAACAATATGCTAATCAGTGTTCGTAATAATCTGGTGGGCGAAGTAGAGAACTCGGTGTTACTGCATTCTACGCAGCACTTTTGACCCTGAGTGCTGTTTTTGTGACAGGACATAGCGTCTGATCTGCGGGCCAAGAGGTCTGTGGTTCCGGAGATGGAGCAGAACCTGAGGTCTGCTAAGGTCAGCTGTGATAACATGGTGAACAAGGTCCAGGAATACTGCCCTGATATCGAGAGGCAGGAGGCTGACGTCCAGAAGCTCAGCACGCGCTACGATAACCTCAACAGGCAGGTCGAGTCCAGGTGAGTTCACATTTATCACTGATAAGAACTCGAAACTCAAAAATAGCACATTTATTACTCATAATGATTCAACTTTCATGTGTTGTTGATATTCTAAGTGAAAATAAGTTACACGTCCTGTATTATTTTAACACACGTGCCATAACTTTTGCACAGGCCTCATTTTATGGTTTATTTTTTTCCCCACTTTGTTAAAATACAGCAAATAAATACCAAAAAGGAAGAGTGTTCTCTGCAGGGCTATTATAGTATTTAAATATTCATTAGTTTTTGTTTTTTATTTAGTTTTTCCTTTGGTTTTAAGCTGCATTAGTAGTTCTATTTTTTTTTTTTCAAAAAGTCATAGTTTTAGTCGATTTTTATTGAGGTTCAGTCTTAGTTTTAGTTTTTAGTATTATAATAAGCGCTGTGATGGAAGGTCTTTGATAAGGGTGGAATAAATTTATCCCGGCAGTGGTCTGAGCTCGGCTCGGCTCCAGCTTTCCCTACAGACCAAACACGGAAGAGTTATTTTCTCAGCAGTTGCATTTAGTTTTAGTTCGTTTTGCAGTGGACATTACAGTTTTGATGTTTTGGAAAAATGTTGTGTTTATTTCTGTTACAGATAAAAGAGAAGTTTTTTCACTGTGCATTTTCATTTAAGTAACAGTTTTATTTAACTACAATAACCCTGGTTCTCTTTGGAGGATATATTAACTTATTTACACTTATAAAATCAACAAAGACGTACAATTTGACAGGGGTGCACAAACTTTTGCACACGGCTATACTAGGGGCGTAAAAATGCGAAGGAATAGTTTTTCATACTTGGTGGGTTTTATTGTCTGGATTCCACTGCTGTGTAAATAGTTCCACTGGTCACATAAAATAATGTGTATTTAGTATATAATAATGAATATTTAGTATATAATAATGAATATTTAGTATATAATAATGAATATTTAGTATATTGTTCATAATAATAATAATAATAATTCTGAATCTAACCAAAATAGCTGAATCAAATCAAATCATGGTGAAATATGAGATTTCATACTGCCCTGATTTTTTTTCTGAAGAATCATAGTCAAACTGAAGTCACAGATTTACATATATAGTAATTATTGATTAATGATCATTGTTTACTCATTATAATCATCATAATTGTTGCACTGATTTCCCTTTTTATGGTCTCATATGTATAAAGTCATATGTAAAAAAAAGGAAATTATAATGGATTATTTACCCACTTATTACGAAGGTCATGTTTACTGACTGCAGATATGCATAAGTAACATGAGGTTCATTCAAACTGCTTTTATCTTGTAGATCTCAGAATCTGCAGAGAGCTAAAACGGCCTACAACAACTACCGCAACGATTACGACAACCTGAACAACTGGCTGTCCCGCGTGCCCAACTACGAGCCACGTGAGACCGACGACATCAGACAGGTGGAGGCCAAGCTGAAAAACCAGAGAGTAAGGGCATTTTTAAAATCTTCAACCCTTGTGTGGCGTTCAGGTCTGTGGGACCCGTTTTCAGTGTTTACCAAAAGAAAAAATGATGTGATTTATTATTATTTAAGCCTCAGATTCTTGGTCTTTGCTCATTTTCTGTGAAGAACATATAAAATAACCCATTTTCAGGGTCTTCACTCTGTTCACCCCCCACACATTTGTATTACACATGTGGTGTTGGGTGAACCTGCGGGGAGTAAAAGTGTGGAGGTGCTGTGTCCTTCACTCTGTTCTCCTCCTAGATGGCCTGCTGTTAGTGTGTGTGTGTGTGTGTGTGTGAGGGTGGACAACATGGACAGGCTGCTGACTGGCTACAGCTGCTAAAGGAGAACCCTACGCTGGACACTTATTTTGTTTATATGTTTATATTTTAAACATCTGGTATTTTTACATAAATTGTTATGGCTGTATTGATTTAAAAAACCAGTAACCACCAGACCACTGAGACCACCAGGCCACACATGGGTTAATAACAAACTGCCATAAAAACCCATAGAGCCGTTTAAGAAACAGCTGCTTTCTTTCCTTTTCTCAGAATCTGCTCTCTGACATCGCAAGAAAGGAGTCAGACTTGAACAACGTCTCAAAGAACGCTCAGCAGTACCAGCAGGCGGTCAAGGTAAGATTACAGGATCATGTGGAGTCGCCTTCTGCAGGTATTCTGTATTCAATAAGCCGTAAGACGCGAGGTTAACGTGTTCCTGTCTGTGACTCTTCAGGACTACGAAAGTGACGCTGAGAGATTCCGGTCCGTCCTTGACCTTGAAGACGGTTTGGTTCCACAAACGTACAAAAGGAGCAAATTGGAGTCTCCTGCCCTGAGAGTGAAGGGAGAGGTATGGAATAAATACAATTACAAATAAATAACAAAATAATGTCTCCAAACAAGTACACTCTTAAAAATGACGGTTCTTTAAGGGTTCTTAGGTAAAGAAGATCGTTCTGTATAGAACTATTAACACACAAAGAACCCTTGCATGATTAAAGGGTTCTTTGCATCGTGAAATGGTTCTTCAGATTGATGGAGAATGTACTGTAGAAAGGGGTTCTATATCACACCTAAAAGGGGTCTTGTAATCTATGCCAATCCAGTCACAGTAGAAGAACCCCTTTCAAAAAGGTTCTATATAGAACCATCTTAAACACACTCTCCATCAATCTAAAGAACCATTTCGCCATGCAAACAACTCTTTAATCATCAGGTTCTTTGTGTGTTTATGGTTCTATACAGAACCAATTTCTTTGCTAAAGAACCCTTAAGAGCCTTTTTCAGTGTGTAGCTTTACAGGAATAATATAAAAAATAAATACTAATAAATCCAATTTACATAGCGGCTTTCACAAAACCAGGACGCTTTGGGGGGAGGAAAAACACTTGTAACTTTTAATAGAAGTTAAAGGAACAGTATTTTATTTGAGGGCATTTTTGGGACAATTTGTATTTGTCCATTCAAATGTAATTAAAATTTTATTTACATATAAACATTCTTATCTTGTAATTGGAGTCAACATATATTACATATACGTGTGTGTGTGTGTGTGTGTGTGTAATGCAAGCTGCCCTTTATATTGTGAAAATGAATGGACCAATATAAACTCATAAATGGTCCAGAATTACTTAGAATGAATTCTATTACATTATTTTTTTCCATTAAATTTTATTCCATTAAAATTTTGATTGTTTTCCTTCTCCTGTGAAGTTACCATTTTGAAAATACAACGTTGTGTTTTGACAGGAACGCATGCCATTGTTCAAAAGTTTGGAATTACTGTTTTATTAATATAAAACTAATGTTTTTGCTGGTACATGTATAAAATGGCTGCAGTATGATAGTAGCAGTCTACAACTTCATAGGTGTTTGACAAATTAGTAGGAAGTGGTTAAAAAATATATATATACACACACACACAAACTTGTGTGTATTTATCGTCACACTACTCAGGACACGATGATATACAGCAAAAATGTATGTGTAGTTGGTCTATACATTTGAAAGCATTTGTGATAGATTATGTTCTTTTCCAACAGGAAGCAGCCATCGAGGCCAAATTCACTGAGGTCAATGCTGTTAATAAACAACGACTGCAGAACCTGGAGTTTGCACAAAGTCTGCTCAATCAGGTACAGCACACTGGCAACCAAAAGCAATTATGCACAGAATCAATGTTTTAAGTATGTTAGCTCATGGTATCGTGCTTTGTTTGACAGCAACCGGAGGTGCAAATAATCCAGCAGAATGTCCAGACTGTGAAAGCTAGTGCTCCAGGAGAAGAACCCTGGAGAGTCAAGAAGCAGCTGGAGGAAGAGGTTCTGAAGAGACAGCAGCTGGAGAAAGAAATCAAAACAATTCAGACCGACATCTACTTGCTGGAAGGACAGAAACCGCAAGACACAATCGTCAAGAAAGAGTTGATCAAGAAGGTGCCTGATCCTCAGCTAGACGAAGAAATCAGCAAAGTCCAGCAGAAGCTCTCAGACGAGCGCAGGACCACCCGTATCCTGGAGGGTGAGCTGGACTCTCTCAGGGTGAAGCTGCGTGGGATTGAGACGGAGATGAAGGAAGGCGCTCAGCAGTACACGGTCAAAGAAGTTCTCCGCATTGAAAGAGACAGAGGACAGGAGGAGGAGGTGAGGAAGCTTAGGGAAGAGCTAGAGGAGCTCAAGAGACAGAAGATAGTGAAGGACAATGAAGTGATTCAGATCCAGAAGCAGATAACTGTCCTGTCTGCGGAGAAGAACAAGGAGCAGGAGGTCATCAAGGAGGAAGAAGTCGTAAAGGTTCAGAATGATCCTCAGCTCGAGAGCGAGTACAGATTGCTCATTGAGCGTAAGCAGAAAGAAATAGATAACCGGAAACAACTTGAGGACGAGCTTCGATTCCTGCAAGAAAAACTGAGGCGCCTGGAAAAGGAAAAGGCCATGGCTGAGGAGAAGATCTCCATCAGAGAGGTCCTTAAGGTGGAGAAAGATATTGCCCTAGAGAGGGAGGTTGAAAACCTGAGAAGGCAGCTTGAGGACGAAAAGGCTAAACGCATGTCCGCCCAGAGAGAGAGAACAGACATTCAGCGGAAGATCGTGAGCCTTGAGGAGGAAAAATCAAAGATTATTGTTCAGGAGAAGGTGCGCGAGATTGTTCGACCCGATCCCAAGGCAGAAACAGAGGTTGCCAATCTCAGGCTGGAACTTGTGGAACAGCAGAGAAGGTGCAGAGATGCCGAACTCCAGCTTAAGACCTTCCAGGACGAGCTGATAGTGCTGAAGAACAGAGGTCCACAGATCGAGTACAAAGAAATCATCAAGGAGGTGATCAGGTACAAGACTGACCCTGAAACTGAGAGAGAGCTTGAGAAACTCAGAAACGAAATTGTGGACAAGACCCACCAGACGGAGAAGTTTGAGATTGAGATCCTCCAACTGAAGGATGAGATTCAGAGGTGGAAAGAAACCAAGCCTCAGGTGCAGACCAAGGAGGTGGTTAATGAGGTCCTTCAGTACAGGGAGGACCCTAAAACCAGAGAAGAAATCGAGACTCTCAAGAGGAAACTTGCTGAGGAACAGAGGAAGCGCTTAGATCTGGAGAGAGAACGGGCTTCCAGCGAAGAGAGGATCAGAATTAGGAAGTTAGACTTGTCGCAGGTTAGGGAGAAGATCGTCCAACAAGAGGTGGTGAAGATGGAGGAAGACCTAGTCTTGAGGTCCGAATGCGAGACCTTGTCTCAGAACATCAGCACTGAGCTGAGGCAGAGGGAAATCCTGAAGGACGAACTTGCCAGGCTGCAGCGTCAAAAGGCTGATCTTGAGCTCCAGCTGGAGGAACTTGAACGTGAACGCAAAGCCCGTAGAGAAGCCGAGCTTGAAATTCAGAGGTTGCGGGTAAGGCTCACTGAGCTGGAGATCAGGGACAAGGAGAACAGAGAGAGGGTCACGGTGAAACAAAAAGTCGTCCTACAGCAAGATCCTCAGCAGGAGAAAGAGCACTCCATCCTACGCCTTCAGGTTGAGGAAGAGAGGCACAAGCGCATCCTTCTCGAGAAAGAATTCAACGCTCTAATTCAGCAGCAAGAGACCCTGGAGAGGACGGAGGTCCGGGAAAAAGTCGTACGCACAGAGAAGATTCAGGTCGAAAGAGATCCCGAAGCAGAGCTTGAGATTGAGAGGCTGAAGAGAAGCCTTGAGGAAGAGACGAAACGCCGGCAAGAACTGGACTTAGAACTTACCACGATCACGTCCAGATTGACCGAAGTAGAGTTCACAAACACAAAGTCATCCAAAGAGCTGGACTACATCCGTGACGAGAGCAACAGACTCCAGCAGGAGAACCAGCGCCTCCTGAACGAAATAAGGAAACTTCAGGCTGAGATTCAGATCACCACGAAGGAAACCAAACAGATCACAGAGTCTCTTCCCCTGGACAACAGCAAGAACCTGGAAATCCGGGTATCGTCCCTACAGAAAGAGCTGTCCGAACTGAGACGCATCACGGTGGAGAAAGAAGAAGAGATCGAAAAGCTACAGAAGAGTCTGTCTGCGGTGAGGGTGAAGAGAGAACAAAGAGAAAGTCATCTCCGTCGTTCCATTGTCATCATCGACCCAGACACCGGCAAAGAAATGAGGCCCGAAGAGGCGTACAAGCTGGGCTTGATCGACTGGAAGATGTTCGTCAACCTCCAGAGTCAAGAGTGCGACTGGGAAGAGATCACCGTCAAGGGTCCAAACGGGGAGTCGTCTGTTCTTCACGACAGAAAATCGGGCAAGAAGTTCTCCATCGAGGATGCCCTGAGGGCTGGACACATCACTCGCCGTCAGCTACAGCAGTACCAGAACAAAGAAATCACCATCCAGGAGTTTGGCGTCATGGTTTCTGGAAATGCCAAATAATTACCAAAGATATTACGTCTTTTATTCTACTCTGTCACTTTACTTCCTTGGTTAAAAGTTCTTGATTAAGCACACGTTTCCTTGGGCTTTCAGATTCTAGATAAAATCATACTTTGTTCTCTCTCAGTGCACAGTGTATTTATTTCCACACGCATTCATATATCAATGCACCCGGCTGTTCTTTGCTTCCGGTTCTGAATTTTGGGCTAGTAGAGAGAATGTCTAAGCTACGTTTGTGTCCTTCTTGAAGGCTAGACAGAGGTAATGTGATTGAACAGGGTGAGTGTGATCTCTGACTGTCCCTATGATGTTCTTATGAAAGCCTTTGTAGTGAGTCTATAAAAGCTTACTTTTACCCATATTACACATACTTTTTACTGTGCTGTCATCATGTCACTTTGAATATTTCTTTTTATAAATGGTGTCAAATTACCATCTTTGTATTGTTTCTTGAGATAAAATATATGTGGGCAAACTGGAGTACTGTGTTCTCATGTCTTCTTTTCACCTTCCTATTCAGCCTTATCTGCATATCAGACAAATGAGTGATATGTAACATTTGAGAAACCCCTTCATTAGCTATCTATTTTTAGTTAGGTAGCTACGCCATAGATATTTAAGGTCATGGCCAAGTAACTTTTAAATATCTTTTTTAAAATGTATGTATATATATATATATATATGCATTTTTTGCGTCCAAGTCCATTATCTACCCTGCACCCCCCCCCCCCCACAGCAGAAAGTCATAAGTTCAGGAAATACATCAAATTATTCAATAATACCTCTTTATGTGACTATTTAGTTTCAGTGCATCCATATAAAATTCATATTAGTTTAGCTCGGAATGATTATATGTTTGAAAACATTAAAATGAAAACCAATTTCCAACATAAGACAACTTGAAAAGTGCTCAACTCACTGAAAACCTTTGTCCTTAAATGTCAAGCGCACAGCCAAAACAAAGGACTTTTATTATGACATGCTTTTAAAAACGAAGGGCCAGGGCATGGCATCATAATGAAGACCCCAAGTGACCTTCAAGGTCAGTAGGCCTTTCACATTTTAGCAAAAATGTGATGTTTGATGTTTGTGGTTAGAACGATTCCGTTTACCACGTCATGTGTTCTGAACTCAGGAGAACCATGAAAATGTGGAATTATTATAATAATGGTTATTTGAAAAAAATAAAAGTAAACTCGAGTTTGAGGTCAAAGGTTTGTACGGGTGTCTTAACAGATGCCTGTTTAATTTAAAATTAGTCTGAAAAGTCAGGTGGCACAACCAGTCAGTCAGATGGAGCAACCGGATATTTAAGATGAAAAATACACAGAGATATAAAAGTGTGCATCATGTCCTTTTAATAAGATTTTTAAAAACTATTTTTTAAAACCTTATTTGTCTTTTGTCAGCTGAAAATAGAGGGAACCCTATACCCTGATAGAAAAACCAGCAAAACTGGCACATGTTGTGTTTCGGATGCTGGTATGATGGTCAACAAGCATGTCTGTGCTGGGTGACCAGCTAAATGAGCATAATCTAGCTTAGACTAGCATGGAATGAATACTGATCTGTGCTTTTTTCAGCAGGGTAGACATTAATCATGAATAGATAATCTATAAATACATACAGACATGAGAAAGTACCTTATATTTCTATTTTCATGAGTAGGTCTCCTAATGATATTTATGGGCCAAGAGTAAGTAACCTATAAATATTTAACGTTTGAATAATATATAAATATAAATAACATTTCAGTGCACAATTATGACTTACTTGTTGACTTTAACAGATCGAAAATAAATGTGGCCTATGCAGAGATTATGGCACATTTTAGATTTCATGTTTTTAAATATGTTAAAGTCAGTAAATAAATAGAATTGTGCAATACAATGAGGACATGTCAATTTATTATCACTTAGAAAATCAACAAAACATGAAAAGTGGCCAAAGTGTTTAAACTTTGCATACAACTGTAGGCTAGACATGGTCACATGGTTATGAATAGATAGTCTGTAAATATCAATAATCATGAGAAGTACCCCATAACTATTTACGCCCATACAGATCTATGATCACAATGCAGCACCCCTGTAGATATCTATAACGACTAGTAACAGTACAGAGTTGAACAGGCCTGCCCCGTACAGTGGGGGGTCCAGTGACTCCACTTCAGTGTTTGAGGTGTAAACAGAGGGATTCAGAGTGGTTTGGTGTGAAACGGTTCAGTTGTCTTTACAGTGGTGCTGATAGGAACCAGGGGTCGCCATGACTACAACACAAATATAGACATTTTATTTACTATCCAGAACCACCAGTGAACCTTCCGAGTCTTCTGAGTTTATATGGAATGTTGATGATGGAAAATAGTGGAAAATCTGAAATAATACGTTTTCTTTGGGGACTATTTTCCTCTAAATAAGTTAGTACAAAATCTTCAGTCATCAGGCAGTGAATCCATAACCATTTCATGTAGTAACTTTCTGTGAGGGAGCTTTTAGAGGTGGACGTCTGGTTCCTATCACCACCACTGTAAAAAATTCTGACTCAGTTTCTCTAGAATGGAGCCCCTAAGGTGACATGGTGATAAAATTCTTATACTGAGGGCACAAGTTAAGTTTCTCGTAACTCATGGCCTGAGTATCGTAGCGCTGTGGAAGAAGACACACAGCTTATGCTCCAGACGTTGTGCTTTATTAACAGGTTGTAGTCGGCCACAGCCACACCACACAATAAGCTCACGCTAGCACTCTCTCTCCTGTTCTCCCTGTTCTTCCTGCTCTACAGGCACCAATACAGAACCTAGCCGCTAGCCCTGCCTTCAGAATAAGAGTCCTTGGAAAATAATCCTGTTCAATGCTCTGGAGAATCAATACTCTGAAATTAACCGCTACAATGTAGTCATTTGTAGCCTCAATGAAGTAAATTGTAGCGTTAATCTGGAAAACTGTGGCCTCAATATAGTATTTTGTGGCCTCAATATAGTAAATTGTGGCCTTAATATAATAACTCATGGCCTCAATATATCATATTTGTGGCCTCAAAATAGTAAATTGTGGCCTCTATGTAGTAATTTGTGGCCTTAATATAGTAACTCGTGGCCTCAACATATTATGTTTGTGGCCTCAGTACAGTAAATTGTGGCCTTAATATAGAAACTAATGGCCTCATTATATTAATTTGTGGCCTCATTATATTCATTTGTGGCCTCAGTACACTAAACTGTAGCCTCAATATAGTAAACTGTAGCTTCAATATTGTAATTTGTGGCCTCTGTATAGTAACATGTGGCCTCAATATATTAACTTGTGACCTAATATTAATGTGGGGCCTCAAAATGGTAAATTGCAGCCTCTGTGTAGTAAATTGTGGCTTCAATATAGTAATTTGTGGCCTCAATATAGCAAATTGTGGCCTTAATATAGTAACTCATGGCCTCAATATATCATATTTGTGGCCTCAAAATAGTAAATTGTGGCCTCTATGTAGTAATTTGTGGCCTTAATATTGTAACTCGTGGCCTCAACATATTATGTTTGTGGCCTCAGTACAGTAAATTGTGGCCTTAATATAGAAACTAATGGCCTCATTATATTGATTTGTGGCCTCAGTACACTAAACTGTGGACTCAATATAGTAAATTGTAGCTTCAACATTGTAATTTGTGCCCTCTGTATAGTAACATGTGGCCTCAATATATTAACTTGTGACCTAATATTAATTTGGGGCCTCAAAATGGTAAATTGCGGCCTCTGTGTAGTAAATTGTGGCCTTAAAATAGTAATTTGTGGCCTCAATACATTAACTTGTGACCAAATATTAATTTGTGGCCTCAATATAGTAAACTGCGGCCTCAATACAGTAAACTGTGGCTTCAATATTGTAATTTGTGGCCTTAGTATAACAACTCGTGGCCAGTGTATAATAACTTGTTGCCTCAACATATTATTTTGTGGCCACACTTTATTAAGACATAATCGTCATGTCACTTTAGGGGCTCCGTACACACCAAACCACTCTGACCGCCCTCTGTTTACATCTGAACCGTTTAATGTACAGAAATGCTGAAAACGGTCCCCTTTAATTTGTCCACTGTGTTGATATCGATGGTCACGAAAGCGAAGTCTGTAAATATCGATGGTCGCAGGTACAGATATCGATGGTCCTGTGCTGTGTACACCCCCCCTCTCCCTCCGCCCCACTCACCCCCACCGATATCCATGGTAGTGACGTATGTGGGTGTGCGCCTTCCCTGCATTCACTGCGTTTCTGTAAGGGGTTTTAAGATGGCGGCGGTGCATCTGCGGATCGGGGATCTGGTTTGGTGAGATTTTCTGTCTTTAAATCGCTCCTCTGTCGCTGCTCGGCCGGTCCACCGCCCGGAACACATCGTAAGCGCTGCTGTAGTCGATGTGTCGGAGCAGTTTCTTCCTCGGAAACCGTGTTTTTCCCGCAGCGAGCCAAACGTTGAGCAGAAGCAGCTCTTAGCCTGCAGGCTAACGAGGCTCTCAGCCTGCAGAATCAGCGCTAATTCCCCGATTAAACCCGCAAAACTCCGGACAGGCGCTTCCTTCTCAGGCGCAGCACTGCAGCTGCCCGTCAAGCACAACTTTACAGAGCGAATTCGCTGCTGGCGATGCGAGAAAAACACCAGCAGGGCTGCTCCACCAAATTTTTTACAATTTCTGCTAAATCAAACGGTTGAGGTGTAAACAGAGGGATTCAGAGTGGTTTGGTGTGAAATGGTTCAGGTGTCTTTACAGTGGTGCTGATAGGAACCAGGGGTCGCCATGACTACAACACAAATATAGACATTTTATTTACTATCCAGAACCACCAGTGAACCTACACGAGTCTTCTGAGTTTATATGGAGTGTTGATGATGGAAAATAGTGGAAAATCTGATATAATATGTTTTCTTTGGGAACTATTTTGCCTCACAGCGCCCTGCATGTTATGTATCCCTCCACCATAAATGGAGTTTAAGGCCAAAATCTTCTCAAAACTATCATGAAACAGTGTCTCAGTCATCAGGCAGTGAATTCATAACCATTTCATGTAGTAACTTTCTGTGAGGGAGCTTTTAGAGGTGGACGTCTGGTTCCTATCACCACCACTGTGAACAGTTCTGACTCTTTAGAACGGAGCGTTTCACACCAAACCACTCTGAACAACCCTGTTTACGTCTTAACCGTTTATTTATGCAGGAATTTTGGAAAATCAGTGGAATTTACCTTTAATTCTGCGAGCTAAGCTGAACAGTAAGCTGTTTTTGGACTGCCAACGTTTACTCTGGTGCTGTCGTGGCTTTAATGTTGCTCAAGCGCTTTTAAATCTCAAACAAACTGACCCAAACTTTAAGCTTACGTTCGTTTTTCTAATGTTGTCCTTTAGGGGGAAGCTTGGACGGTATCCCCCCTGGCCAGGAAAGGTAAGTTCATAAACCTGTGTCGTTTACCTTCATCTGTCCATTTCTCTCTTTT